CACCACACACACACACACACACACACACACACGCTTCCAGAAACACACGCACACACCGGCCTAAAATCACACACACTCACACACATACATTTTCTCATACACATATTGTCCTTCCAAAAAAAACATGATTACCCAACAAACGTTTAAGCACTGGCAAAGTCCTCAGTAGGTCACATTATTAAAAAGTCCGCCACATTTGAAATTTTGAACCAGAAGGTGTTATAATATATTGCTACTCTAGGCAATTTACAAAGCATTTTTTCATTACAATGATTAAAGCCACATCTATCAAATGGGACACGACACCATTACCCAAACGCTACACAGACATCAAAAAAGTAAAACAAATATCTTGAAACACAGGTGATGGGATTTTTTTTTTTTTTATCGTTCCTTGGGACCAATTTTTTCCTCTTTGCATCATAAAAAAATCTCGCCTCCACAGTCAAACTCCATGAAAGGAAGTCTGTGATCAGCAAAAGATTTTTGTCCTTCCTACGATTGGAAGCCGCTTCTCTCATTACTTGGCTGGAGCTAGAAACGGGATATTAATTGAACCAGAAAACCGCAAGGTTACCTTTTATGTCATGTGGACGGTGCTGTGATATCTGGACTGTGAGAGGAGGAGGATGGGCGGGGAAGGGGAGGGTGGAAAGAGGTGCGGCATGCGATACATTGTCGAATAGTTTTTCTCTAGGCTTATAGAAGGTCATTTAAAATCTGCCAGTGAAGACAGCTGAGAGGCAGATATCCAAAGTGGTAAATACTGTGCCGACTGTCATCCTGTAATAGCCATGCACTACACAACACACAGGTTCAACACGATTTACACACAGGTGGAGATCAGAGTCACGTCTGCACAGATGTCACAAGGTAATGCGTGCATTACAATCACATAGACTCAATTACATCTTAAAGGGAAGACTGGGAAGTGGTGGTGGTGGTGGTGGGAAGTGGGGGGGGGGACATTCAAGTGTTTACCGCACAGGGTCATGTCGATGAAATGAGACTGGAATGGAGTCAACCTACAGCAGCTAACCAGCGACTGGGTAATGGGTCAAGTCCAAAAATCACACAACAATAGAAGCTAAAATACAACTCTGAAAAATAATTTATTGCTTTTTATATAGTTTTTTCTTTCATTTATATTATTATCATTGTTATTATTATGAATCATCTTGTAATTATCGTGAATAATATAATCATATATATATAAGTATATATATATATTGTACATCAAATACAAGATCTTTAAAAAAATTCAGGAAAAGGAAATTGTAAACTTTTGTTTGGCATTCACATAATCAAGCGTGAGTGGAGCGATGACAACGAGTGTTTACAGTGGTACAACAAAGAAATTCCTGCTAAATCATTTTTATTGCTTCATGTTCTGCTCGTGTGTGGAAAAAGAAAGAGATGTGACGGATGGTGGAGACAGAAATCTCTGTGTGATGAGCGCTGCCTGCCGGAGTGATTAGCTGAATGGTTTGATTGTTTTGGAAAGGCATAGAAGGTAATATTATCTCCACCAAACCATTTATTGTACACCCTGTCTAGTGATTGGAAGTTAAATAACACAAATCGAAGGACAACATAAAACAGCAAATAGATTTTGTGAGGTGCGCCATGTCGAAATGGAGCCCATAAATAGTCTTGATTCAAATAATAAAATAAATAGATAAATATGTGTTTGTACTGATTGAACAGATTTGAATGCAGTAGTCTTTTTCATTGAAGGTAATCAAAAGGAGAACCATACAAAGCAATGAAATCAAACCCAGTTACATATATACATATCTGTATATATATATTGATTGCTTCAGAAATAATTAATAAAAAAATGGGGTATCTTTTTTTTTTTTACAATCATGAAAAACACGTTAAAAATGCATTTTATACTGGTTTCATAAGCAAAAACACTGATTGAGAAACGTTATAAACAGAGAAAACTATACATGGTTGACTGTTTTTTCCCCCGACAAAATAACTTAAAAAAGGACGTTTGTTCACATGCTCCCTCAAAATGAGCAATCAGACAAATCTTTTTTTCTTTTTTACAATCATATCATGTCTTCTAAACATCATGTAGGTGTACAATATGTTTTACAGTATTGTAATGACCACAGATCGACATTCTGAATTAAGAAATGTTCTCCTCATTTTTAAAAAAGGCTGCGTTTTACAGTGCATAGCTGTAACAAATAAAGAACTTTATCAGATATGTACATAAAATAAAAATATTCCTTTTTATAGTATTTGTAAATACACGGCTACATTTCTCCTCAAAATGTAGACAGCAATGTTACCTTGAGAATTTTACCTCCAAGACACAATTTCTTATACTCTTGTTTGTAATGTAACACTAGATCCAAACACCAGGTTTAAAGAAAGAAAAAAATCAACAGCAAAAAAAAACAAATCTGGCTGAACAAGCTGCATGTTTTCACCCCCAAATAATTGTGGGTATTGTAGTGCTTTGAGAAAAAAATCACAAGTTTTTTTTTTCTTCTTTCACTGGCGGTAGCACAGCAGTGCACCAGGCTCTGAGGGTTCGCTGGATTTCCCAGAATGCAATGTCTCTTCCCAGCTCTTCAGCAGCTATGTTCATGTAAACTTTATTTGTGATATATTCATTTATATTGATATAGGTCTATAGACTTATTCTTATATACTCTATAACAGAGTGTAAAACTTCTGGTGGGCTCGTCGTCAAAGGAGCGAGACCCCACAGTGAGGTATCAGAAGTCCCTCTGTGACCGGTTACCTTCTCAGGCTGCGCTGCGCCTCCCTCAGCAAGCTGTCAAAATCCATGGAGTCGTACTTGCTTTTAGTGGAGGCTGGATCAAAGTCGTCCGAATGGGAGTCTGAGAGCAGAAAGAAGGGTTGTGATCAGTGTTGAGCAGAGCAGCGTTTCTTAAAAATAGTATTTCTTCACAGAATATCGTGCCTTAACAGCTTAATTTAGCTAAGTGTTATTTGGTTACTTTGCTATTGAGCTACACAGTTTTCACATCTACATCTCCCTTAGAAATGTAATTAAGACCTTGGATGTGGATCTGTTTGATCGCATATATTCTCAAAGAATAAAGGTATAATATAATTTGACCTTAAGATTGAATCTCTTGGTCTTTTCCATTTCATTTGACTGCAATAATATTAATCAAGACTTCCTTGATCCTGTTTTAAAACGTTTTGGTCCCAGCTCACAGAATACAGCATTATTGCTTGTAGCTAGGTCTTAATCTGATGGTTACTTTGCATTTGATTAAAAAATAATAATTTTGGGAAAGAACATCCATCAGGGTCCAACGATGAAGACCTAGAGTTGACCTGAATCCTTTCACCTGCCATACTAAAGAGCATGTGTCGGATCAGCAATCAAAGCCATGTCAAATCTCCTTTTTTAATTATGAAAGTACAAAAAAGTGTATATTGCTAGTTTGAGTTTCCACAAATCATGAAGATGCGATAAACTTCAAAAAATAAAGAATGATTTGCGAATAGTCAGACGTTGAGTTGCATGCAGGAATATTTACTGAATGACCACGATAAACAGTAGATCAATCCATAACTGCATGTTTACAAAACACCCTAATAACTTAAACCAAATAATTCTAACCGTGCAGGTAGAAAAAGTGCCTTATTTGTATCCCTCTGTCTGTCAATCTTCTCATATGTCCTATTTTTCTGATCAACCTGATAACACATAAAGAGTGTCTTATCTCTGCCAACAGACAGCTTCACAAATGGGGCCCCCAAAGGGCCCAGCAGCACACTGCGAGAGCTTTGAGAAATGGGACTGACCATGGCAGCTGGAAGACGCCAGTTGTGATCTAATGCAGCGGCCGAGGGCTGGATTGTGTCACACTGCGCACCTTGAGGGATGAAAAATACCGCGGTGCTCTACTTAAAACTAATGGACAGTGTCTCCGAACACACAGGGAAGAGGCCTTAAAGATTGAGAAGAGGGGGGAGAGCTTTGGATCCTCCCCTCCATCTTCCTGTGCTATCAGTGTGGGGAGGACCAAAATAGCCCCGTTCCTGACAAAGAGGCGCTCGAATGAAGGCCTTTCCATTCCAGTAGACTGATTAGTCAATCTCGGCATAATGTCTATCCTCAAGGCTTTAGGATTAGCAACTGTTTCGGTGTGTGTCAATTTCTCATCATGTCCTCTCTTTAAGAGCCGATAGCTTCAAGCATGCGCTTTGAAAATGTATAGTAACCGCTTCATTTATTGAGGAAAGTGGCTCTTTTTCTCTCCGCTGACCCGCTGACCCTCTTGCCGCGGTGCAATATACATTTCTGACCTCCCATTTTTGCTGGTAAATACATGTCACGGTCAATGCCCATCTTATATCAAATGGAGGAGATTATCTTCTCTTGCGACACTTCCCTCACTTTCAGCTGCTCAATTATTATCACCATCGGTTTAATTGTGCAACTAACAGAAGATAAGAGGAGACATTAACAGAGTTTGCAGTAGTTTTCTCTCGGCTTTTAGAAGGGAGTTCTTTTGAAAAACTAGAAAGTACTCTACTCTTTTGGGGCATCATGCCAGTAAAAACAAGGCCTTGATTTCACGGATATCTTGAATGATTTATTAAATGTGCCATTCAACCTTCAGCTGAGCACAGATTCCTCTCTGAGATGTATGGACCTGATCAATATAGGAGCTATGTTCACATGTCAGGGATCATACATGCATGTTACGCTATGGTATTACTTGGATGAGATTAATTCTGCCGCATGCCTGCCAAAAAAAGCGTGAGCAGGTGAATGCTCGGCCCCCATCTGCACATCAAGGCTCCTCAACAGATGGACCCTCCCTTCCAGAGGGAGGAGAGACTTAACCTTGCTCCCTCCTTCCTCCTTCTCACTACTATCGCGCCTTTCTCCTCGCAAATGACTCTCCTCTTTGCCATGTTGTTAGAAATGAAGCCCACACACACACACACACACACACACACACACACACACACACACACACACACACACACACACACACACACACACACACACACACACACACACTGTCCCGGGGCTCTTACCCATCGTCCCTCAGGTTCACTGCACATTCTTCAATTTCGCCGAAGACTTCAAAGCGGCGCTTCAACTCTGTGCGGGTGCAGTCGGACCTCAGTCGCCCCACGTACACCACCCGTCTCTCCTCCTGCTCGTTAAGAGGGAAGACAGAACGGAGGAAGGAGATTAAAAAAGGGGGGAGTGTGTTTTTCCTCTCCCCTTCTCTTTCTTCACCCCTGCTCTAATGAATTGGTCTTGATCACTCCTGTGGATACGGCCGCTGACTCTCGGCCCTTTTTCTGTCCCCTCTCCTCCGCTTCCTGTTATCTGATAGAGCTGCACTCCGCCTTCAGTCTGCCTTGGCACTACAATTCCTCTTTCTCTCCGCAACTCATCAACCAGAGGCGGGAGTGATTTTTATCAAATGATGCCATGTCTTAAAAGTTACTGCTTCTGCTTTTGTGAAAGTCTAAAAATAAAAAGCTGTGAGGTGACTCAGCCAAGTCTGTTTTCTTCCTCACAATGCACAGCAAACAAGGCACGGTCAGTTCATTTTTAGGGATATTCTAAGAGCAGCAGCAGCGAGCCACGAGGCAAAGGAACATGTTTTCATCCAACCTCAAGAGGACGCAGGGGTCATAGCGGAATAATTTAGGAACAAACTGCACCGGGCTGCAATTATGGCCTTTGAGTAGTTTAGTTGCATCTGCTAATCATATAATGCGGCCAAGCCTGGGGCTATAGTGTAGCAATAGTATTATTTATTTATAAGGAGCAAGTCCATTGAGGCCCGTTGAAATTGTCAATGCTGTCTTGAGGCTAACATGTATGTAAATCAGTCACATGCTGCTAAACTGCTGAGTCCACCTTTGCCCTTCTGTAAAGCAGAGAAAAGATACAGATTGACCACAGATGACTGTTTTTATGCTTTTTTTCCACTCACTTTAGTGCTTACATATACAGTTCGAGACAAAAAAAGCTTTTGCTGAATTAGTGGTTTAGTTGCTGACAGCTGATAAATAGGCGGTCTTCTCTTGATGGCACCCTGAGGGCTGCTGTGTGTGAGTGAGTGAGACAGACGGAGACCAAACCCGGTTAGACAGCTCGAGCCTCAGCGCTTGTAATTGTTTGCATCTCTAAAAAATGTGTGCATGCCAAGCAACGTTTGCATTACTGCTTAATTTAATGTGTGCTTTATCAACGGGTGGTAGTGGCGCCCCCCCGGCTGGAAACCTGAGTCATCTCACACTGAGACATGGAGAGCGGTGATACGGCAGAAATGTGATATCCACTGCGGAATTTTGAAATAGATACAGGAGAATGAAAAGAGAATCAGTGACCGTTTCCTAGTTTGTTTTGTTCTTTCCTCCGTCTTGCTCTCCCAGTTTCTGTTTTCCACTATTTTAAACATTTCACCCCTGTGGTGTGATTAATAAGAGTCGACAGTGTTTCCAGGCGTTAAAAATACAAAACCCTGAGATATGAGGAAGGGCCTGTCGCCTGAATCATTCAGGAACTCACTTTGTATGAATTCTTTCAGCAGAGACTGTGGCACTGGGCTGCAGGCTGTCTCATCCTCTAATGTGTGTGTGTGTGTGTGTGTGTGTGTGTGTGTGT